CGGGGCCCTCTGGCATCCCAAGCCAGCTCTTACCCAACACGCCACTCGGCCGGCCCTATAGGAGGATATCTTAATCTGTTGTATTGGAAAAGATTGCTTAAACATGTTACCACGTTTAAGATAATTATAGTGAAAAAGAGGGACACATCTACATTAAAATTAAGAACTTCTAGTCGTGAAAAGACATTAGTAAGAAAGTGGAAGTCGCAGCATACATGTTTGCAATATATGTAATTGACAAAGTTCTCATATCCATAATACATAAAGAACTAAAAAATGAGAAAAATCAAATAGTAAAAATAAATTTTATGTGTATACTCCAACAAAAAATTAAAAGTTACAGTGAAAAAAAAATGTAACTTATAATAGGAACAAAAAAAATAAAATGTTAGAATTCCAACAGATTTGCAACACTTATGGAGAAAATTAAAACTTTATTAGAAGGCATTAAAGGAAATTGAAAATATGGAGTATTCTTACATAGGAAATTTACCAAATTGATTGTCAATCCTCAATAAGAAATTTTAATTTATTAAACTGGCTGATTCTGAAATGGACTTATAGAAGAAATAATTCTGGATAACAGTAACCTCTTGGAGGGGTGAGTGAAGGGCGAGAGATGTAGTCAGGGAGTGTACAGCACAGGGAGCATCGGAGGTACTTGTAATTTTTAATTTCTTAATCAAGATGATGTATACATGGGTATTTTGTTATACTATTCATTTAAATTTTTAAGTTGTATTTTATGTTTTACAATAAAAATGTTGTAAAGAAAAAATTCTCAATATGAAATAGTAATAAAAGGAAATCACCTAAACATGATAAAGACTTTATAACAACTGACAGCAAATGTCATGGTACATAATAAAATACTAACACCATTGCATTAAATTAGAAACGTAGATTTACCTTTCATCACCAAACTATTTATTGGGTTGCTAAAGTCTTAGCTAAGTCAATAGTATAAGAGAATTAAATAATTGATATCAATTTTTAAAAGAATAAGCAACATTTTTATTTGTAAATAATGTGGATGTGTACTCCAAAGATCTAAAAATCTTGTAAAATTGATATTTGGTTGGTTATATGATAGATACACAAAATTCAAAAGCTTTTCTCCAACTTGGCAATATCCAGATAGAATTTGAAGCAACAAACTAAAAATTCCCTTTATAAGAGTGACAAAGTTTATAAAATCTCTTGGAATAAATTTAACAAGAAAGGTACAGGCCCTGTGTAAATTCACACCCTTATTAAATGGCATGAATCAATCTTGAATGACTGTAGAGACTTATTTTTCTTAGCTGATAATACCTAATATTTAAAATAATTATTTCCAAACTAATATCTAAATTAACTGCATTTCCATTCAGCATCTTATTATTTTTTGAGATATAATTGACATTTCAGGTATATGAGTACAACATAATGATTTGATATTTGACTATATTGACAAATGATCACAATAAGTTTAGTTAACATCTATCACCACACATAGTTATAAAATTTTTTTCATATGATGAGAATTTTTAAGATCTACTCTGTTAGCAATTAACTGTTTTGGTGATTTTGTGGTTCCTCTTTGTCCTTTCTTTTGTTTTTTGTTCTCCTACGTTGATGAATTTTCTTTAGTGATTTGTTTGGGTTCCATTTTCTTTATTATTGTTGTGTGTGTGTATCATTATAGGCTTTTGGTTTATATTTCTCACGAGATTCCTATATAACAAGGTATGCAATATAGCAGCCTATTTTAAGTTGATGGTTGCTTAAGTCTGAACACATTCTAAATGCACTACATTTTTTATTCACAACTTCATGTTTATGATTTTGACATATTTTGCGTCTTTGTGTGTGTGTATCTTTTAATTTATTGCTGTAGTTACACATGCTGTTATTACTTTTGTCTTTTAACCTTCATACTAGCTTTGTAATTGGTTGACCGACTATATTTACTAAATGTTTGCCTTTATCAGCGAAATGTTTTCTTACATTTTCTTTTTAGTTATAGCCCTTTCTTTTCCACTTAAGTCCCTTTCATGTTTCTTGTAATGCTAGTTTAATGGTGATATACTTTTGGTTTTGCTTTTGTTTGTCTTGGAACAAACAAAAGCAAAAGCAAAATTCTGAATGATAGATAACCTTACTGCACTGAGTGTTCTTGGTTGTAGGGTTTTTTTCCCTTTGCATCACTTTTGAGTATGTTGTGCCATTCCCTGCAAAGTTTCTGCTGAAAAATCAGCTGTTTGTCTTATGGGGGGAGAGGGGGGTTCCTTGTACATACCTACCTGTGTTTCTCTTGCTGCTTTTAAGATTCTCTATCTTTAACTTTTGGCATTTTAATTATGATGTGTCTTGGTGTGACCCCTTTTGGTTCATGTTGTTTGGGACCCTGTGCTTTCTGGATTTGGATGTCTGTTTCCTTCACCAGGTTAGGGAAGTTTTCAGCCATTATTTCTTCAAATAGGTTTTCTGTCCCTTTCTCTTTCTCTTCTCCTGGGACCCTTATGATGTGAATGATGGTACATTTGCTGTTGTCCCAGAGGTCCCTTTAACTATCTTCAGTTTTTAAAATTATTTTTTCTTTTTACTGTTCTACCTTGTGTCCCAGTTCACTGACTTGATCTTCTGCATCTCATAATCTGCTGTTGATTCCCTCTAGTGTAGTTTTCATTTCAGTTATTGTATTAATCATTACTGATTGGTTCCTTTTTATAGTTTCTATGTCTTTGTTGACATTCTGAGTTCATCTATTCTCCTGAGTTCATTGAGCATCTTTATAACCATTGTTTTGAGCTGTTTGGTAGATTGCTTGTCTCTGTTTCATTTAGTCCTTTTGGGGTGGGGTGGAGGTTTGTCCTGCTCTTTTATTTGGAACGTATTTGTCTCCTCATTTTGGCTGTCTCTGTGTTTGTTCTATGAATTAGGTGGAACAGCAGCCTCTCCCGATCTTGAAGGAGTGGCCTTGTGGAGGAGCGCCCCCTCGTAGACTGTGCTGGGTGTCTTTGGCAGGCCCGCTGGAGCAGGCATGGGCTGCAGGGAGACCCAGGAACAAGCCACCTTGGCAGGCTGATTGGAGCTGGAGCTGGAGTGGGTGCAGCCATGGGAAGTCCCAGGGACGAGCCTCACCAGGGCCTCCTTGGTGGCTGGCTGGGGTTGTATTTGGAGCCAGCTCAGGGTGTGAGGAGTTTCGGGGTCAAGCCTTGCTGGGGCCGCCTAGGCAGCCTGGCTGGAGCTGTAGTTGGTGCAGGCTTGGGCTTTGGCGAGTTTTTGGGGCAAGCCCAGCAGAAGCCTGAAGGTGCAGCTTGAGCGGACAAGGGCCGCGGAAAGTCTTGGTGGAAAGCTACACTGGGGCTGCCTTGGCAGGCCAGTTGGAGTTGGAGTTGGAGGGGGCCCAGGCTGTGGGGAGTCCTAGGGGCAAGCCAAGTGAGGGGAGGAGCTGTAGCTAAAGTAGGTGGGAGCCATGGTGAGTCCCGAGTCCCGCGGACAAAATGTTCCCGGGCCTGGAGCTGTATTGGAGAGAGTGCAGGCTGGGGTGGTGGGTCCTGGGAGCACAAGC